TTATTGGTTCTCAATCTTCACTTCTCTTCTGCTTCCATTATTATTGTTACTAAAATTACACTCCATATATTTTGTCTTAGTTCTCTATATCCTAAATTCCTTAGATTCAAGTCCTCTCCCAGTCTCCAACTTAGTAGTAACTCCTCTAATCTCATCCACTATCATGATATCATCTGCAAAAAGCATACACCATAGCACATCATCTTGAATATTTCTCGTAAACTCAACCATAACTAAATCAAAAAGATAAGGACTTAAATTTGATCATTGGCATAACATTGATGATATCTTTAATATTTGTAAATTCAGTCAAAATTAACTGAGTTTCATATGACTTAAAATTTTCTTAAATTTTAGCTTATATTTTAAGAGGCACTTAAATTTTTAAGTGATATTAATTATGGTTATCAAACGAGCTTAATTAATCATCACTTAATACATTAAGTTTTAAGTGCTGAATCTAGCTAATAAAGTTCAAACATTATTGCCATGTTTTGTCAATGCTTACTCAACTATGCCAGTTGAAAATTTGCACTTACAATACACTTAAACTAATGGATCCAGAACAATCCAAATCAAGCAATATGGGCCATCAATGACCATTGCAAGAGGTCAAAAAATTAATTCCAAGGAAAGCTAAAATAAGTCTAGACTATCAAACAATACACATAAAGAGGGGAAATACAAATATATACAAATAGAGGGGCCTACAAAAACCTCAACTATGAAGGAGACAAACAAATTCTTTTTTTTTTGGGTAAGTAGAGAAACAAATTCTGGTAAACCGCTTTTCACAATTTAATTCACAGAACTAAGAATGTTTATCTGACCCAAAAGAGAAGCAGCACACAAGAAATGCAAGTTAAATGGGTGCCATTCTTATTAGGGATGCTGAGAGAACTGATAATTTTTTGTCAGAAGGAGAGACACTGGTAATCGTTTGTAATAATATTTAGAAAAACAAATTAGTGAGACAATCAAAGAAGTGTTTTTCAGCAATCTTACATGTTGTAACAGAGTACAACAATACATGCAAAGCAGATATTATTAGAAGTGAGAAAACCAGAAGTAACTATTATCATACATTTGAACAATATGAAGAACTTTCTACCTTTTAGGAATTATGTATATAACTTATATGTTGTAACAGAGTAGAACAATACGTGCAAAGCAGATAATATAGAAGTGAGAAAACCAAAAGTAACTATTATCATATATTTGAACAATATGAAGAACTTTCTACCCTTCAGGAATTATGTATATAATTTATAAATGATCAAGAACATGGAACATGAAACTTAGACATGAATGATACACAATCTTGATAACATACTCCTACTATGATACCTAGAACGTGGATGTTCCAATATGAGGAACTGGAACGTGAACACAAACAGAGTATGCTACATGATCTAAATTGTGGTACGATAGGGATAGACTTGTTAGTTTACACCAAGAATTTATGGTACTTTTAGTTTAGAGAAGTTTTTTTTTAACAATTAGACATCCAATAAAATGTTTTTTTTTTTTTTCCTTTTGTTTTTTTTTTTTTTTCCCTCTCCAAATTAATCATATAGCAACACATTTGTATGAACATCATGACTCAATTTTTATGTTTTGTCATGTTAAAATTTCACTTACCTTAAATTTAATGTCATTATATTTGATTTTTTTTACTCCTAAGCTATGTCTGGTTAGGGGATTTTGGAAGGAATTTGGAAAAGAAAAGAGAAAAGGTATGTAAAACTAAGTGAAATGTAAGTATATTTTATTCATATTTCACCTACCTTTTACATTTCCATTTCCAAGTCCCTCTCTCTAAATCCCCCAACTAAATACAGCACTAAGGAAATCTTGAGGAAATATATTGGAACAAACTTTTGAGATCGCTTTGGATCGTCAAATTCACCGTTTTGGAATGAAAGTGTACCTTAATTTGGAACGTGCATTCCAAAACGTAATTCGCTAGGGTATTAATGTTTTCTGATAACACTTCCTACAATACTTTTCCATAAGAATGTTTGTGATCTCATGGCATTGGAATGCCAAGCATGGTTGTTAGAATCTTACAATTCATGATTTGATTCATACAAGTTGATACGAGTTTTAAGCAAAAGGATTTAATTTGTAGTTGAATATGAAGTTTAGAGAATCCTAAGATTCAATTGCACTTCTGTTTGCATAATGCATAAAACAGCATCGTTTTCGTAAATGAAAAAAGAGATCAACTAATTGTATTGATAAATGTAATTTTACTTGTATATACATATATATATATATATATTTGATTTAGTTATATTTAGTTCATTTTAAACACTCTGTATTTTTACATGTATATACATATATGAAATTATATATTACGCCAAATAAAGCGAATCTCATGATTCATTATTCACTATTTTAGCAAAACAATTTACAATTGGATTTGTGATTTGACAATAGTGATGCTATGTAGCACAAACATGGACACATCAGGACATAGATACGATACTAACATGCCGACACGTCAATTTAACCACATCATTGTCATTTTCTCTACCGTTGTATGGCCCCTTGCCACCATGCATCAAGAAATAAGAAACTAAAGTATACGAGTCTGCAGTGGTATACTCTCTCTCTCTCTCTATATATATATATAACATAGATGCCTCCACTGCAAGACACTGCAATTTGATTGTTGGTCTGAATTGCACCAAATCACGTGTCTTCTGATTTCCTCCCCACTTTCCCGAGGGTTAAAATACTGATGGAAAGACATAAGCTGATGATCCACAGATAAAAGTTTTAAGTTTTCCACATTGGGCTGGATAATTAAACAAATTTAACAGTGTCTCAAACCGGTATTTGTGGAAAGAGCACAAATGAATCAGCATTCATGAAAAGAAAAAAAAAAAAAAAAAAAAAAAACCATATTGCCAACAGAAAATAAAAATCCCTCCTCCTTTATCCGGGCTTGTGACCGGCAGCGTTTATGTAACACTGGTGGAGTTCTCTTAATCTATGCCTTGCCCTTGTTGCATACGAATCAAGCATACAACCATATGTATCTGGGCTTCAGCCGAATATAATGTACATGCAAGTCAATGCCCAAAAAGTAGTCTTGGAGTACAGAATACTTTAACCACCATATGCAATACAATAGTGATATATAATAAAAACATTGAATGGAGATATGTAAGGTAGAAAGAGTGAAGGTTGTATAGTGTAATGCCTAAATTTACATTAAATCCGTTTCTGTAACAATTTATAACTAAATCTCATGTGAATGTTCAATCTTTTTCTTGATTTTATTTCTTTCTTCTTTAGTAGTAAGTACTTTCATCTAGACCTTTGTACCTAAATTATTTGGCTATTATTATATCCTCATTTCCTAATATATAAGCGGTAGCTATATAATGTTAGATTGACTCGGGTACAAGTGTGGAGTGTCATGTGTCTAAATATTTGATTCATCTAATTCTCATGTCCAAGGACATGACACGGCAAAATATTCAGTATGTCATATATATTAATATTTCATACAAAGATAATGAAAATAATGCAACGTAACACCAATTCCTAAAGTCCAACAAAGGAGGAGAGATAAATTGGTATGAATTTATATTGTTATTTTATCATTGGATCTCAGCTCAAGTTGTTTTCTTCAAGCTTGTAATGCATGTTACGTGTCCAAGTGACTGGCACGTGCATGTCCAGGTCTAAAGTACTAAAAATAATAAATAGTGACATGTTTTGACATGTGTCCGACATAGACAGGTCACTTTCTTAGAAGTGTTTGTGCTTCTAACTTTTATACAATAGGAGCGCAGGTCTTTAACACAAACCAATGCATGCCAAAAAGGAAAACAGTGAGCACAATTAGGGAGCATCTTAAGCCCCCTTCCCAAATAACCTAGGGTGAGAAGAGTCACATGATATAGTCCGCATAACGATAAGGAGAAACGAAAAAATGACAAAAATAAGATATTTACGCTGGTAATGGTAAGTTAAACAAACCTTATTTGGGGTTGCTTCTAGGGGGTTGCTTCTGCTCATTTCAAAGCTGAAGCACCCAATCAGGCGGTTTGGTTAGGGTGCTTCTTAGCTAATTAGGTTACATAGGGCACAACATAGTTGCATTGAATTATAACTATTTTCAACTTGGCCTCAAGAAAAAGTGATAACTGCTAAAATGTCCCCAATTCAGCACTTCTGGGGAGAACTTTGCAAACATTCCCAACCCAACTTGTTTTCTACCTTCTATAAATAATTAAGCACCTACAAATAGTTCAGTAAGCCCCTACAATTATTTTCATACTAAACACTCTTAAAAATTATGCATTTTTTGCACACATCAATCCAACAATTCAAGCCATTGTGATTTTTTCTAAATCATCAGAGCACTAGAGTGAAAGAACAATTTGCACTTAGAGACCATTAAAATAGTCCAATCCAGCCCAAATAATCTTCAATAAGAAAGTATGATATGCAAACAATTGTTGTTGATGGCGATAACAAGCAACCAATGGAGTCACATCCTCAATCTAGAATAGGGGGCCAGTAGCAATTTTAATCATGTATGTATGATGGCTATCAAATTAAAATCTAATGTATATCATTCACCAAAATATTAATACATGAATAGCATCCTACTGAAAGCGCATCTCATACCATGCAGCCCCACACACATTTTCAAGCTAAAAAGAGAGTCTACCTGAGGTTTTGCATTACCATACTATGACTGTATGGAGTATCGATAGATAGGTTAAAGAAGCCATGCATTTCACTTAATTATGACAATTATATTCAATAATATGGAAAAATATTTAATTTCCTAAACTGAAATGGGGAAAAAAAATGTACAAAACAAACAAGAAAACAAAACCAAAAAAAAAATTCACAAAAACAAAAAAAAAGCAGAAAATTCAAAAAAAGGTGAAAAAAAAAGTATACATGAGTATATAAATACAATGCTGAAAAAATGAAAAGCAAAAGGCAAACATATTTAAGAACTGAATCACCTTGCAGTAATCCCGGAATTTCAAGTAGTAGAGACTGTCAGCCATTACTACCAATGCGTGCTGGCGCTTCATCGTGAACCACTGCACAAATACAAAACAAGACCTATGACAATTAGAGAAATTAAAGTTGATCAAGCTGCAATTTGGTATATCTAAACAAAGACCCATTAGACAAACATAAAACATAGTAGGGACGAAATGCAACAATGCAATGACATTTTTGACCCAACAACAAAGGTATTCTTGGTTTAAAACCCGACTTTCAGGGTTCACTGTCATGACCATGGGCAGAGGGAGGGGGGGTCCTGGCCCCTGCCAAGTTGCCAGGATTGTTAAGATTTGTATGTGATTTATATGATTCATGTGTTCTTAATTGCACTTGGCCCCTCCAAACTTCTTATTTTTTTACTTATATACTATATTGTGTAGAATAGCTATGAGTTTTTGTAGTGTTAATACAAATCATTATAGTTATGTTACAAAGGGATGCACCACAAAAAAAAGTTTCAGATACAAATTGTTATGGTTATAGAACGAACAATTATAATTACGTTATGAATATTAAATATTACGTACTATTATTCTGAAAAAAGTTATTAACTATTGGGATTCGGTAACCAATCATTGTAATAAAATTTTAAAAGGGCACACGGTATGCATTTTTAAGAGTACCATAGTTTGCTCATTTTATTTCTTAAAAAAAAAGACCGCAAGTATTTTCATCTTTCATTGATTAGTACATGACAATTTCAAAAAATTTGTGTAGTGATCTATAAAAGATTACCATTCATGTACTGGATAAACTATGTGATATTACTTCTCATTTGCATTTTTCTAGTGTTATATCACTGAAATTTAAGTTCATGAATTATATTTTTTTAAATCGTTTTTTAGCTTAGTTTTAATAGTGATTTGTTGATTTTAGTCATCGAAATTGGACTTGATCTGACTGCTAGTACGGAGTTTGAGTTCATGCTCCTATACTACAAAAATATGTTCTTATGGCTGGCTATGAAAGAACAGATAGTAGATTTGAAGTCACTGGTTGGAAAGAAAAGGAATATGGTAATTATTAAAGAAACAACTAGGCTAGTTCAAGTAACTTGTCCCTATAGTGATATAATCACATCACAATTTTTACAACTACACAAACCATGCTGAGCCTCTATATTGAATGTGTTGAAAATATACCTGTGCACCCTTCCGGAAGTCACTCTTATCTACTTCAGGTAACATATGCTCTGAATACCTGCCACTCCCATGTGGACCAGGATCCTCAAAGCTGGAAAGTATAAGAAGTATGCATCAGTAATGACAAGAAAACTCAGATACAAAACAATATGTTAAACAAGTTCCGTAAGGAAAATCTTTAATCCAAAGAGCCTTCTACAATAGCAAAAATAGAATTATATGAAATCATTGTGCGCACCAGTCAACAAAGCTGATATTTGTGTACATCAGATAGTTGAACACATAGTCAAAATCATGCAATGGAATACAACTGCAATGCAACAGAACAATTATTCAGAAAATTGTCAGTACCAAAGTTGGCAAACAAAATATTATTGCCAATAACTATTGTCACCTATCAGAAAGTAATATGAAGTGTTGGTTCTCAGGGTCTTTCAGTGCATTTGCCAACAGGCGCCTTTCTGCATCGACCATTGAAATCTTTCCCCACACAACCTGCACACAAAATCAACAGAACTATCTCATTATTAATATGTCCATATATAAAGGCAGATCTAGGCTTATACTAAGAAAAACAAGCACGAACACATGACAGGACACGGCACATGGACACGAAAATTTTCAAAAACGGACACAACATGGCGGGAACACATGCAAAACTTATAATTATATATATTTGTTATGTTTCTTAATATTATATATTTATTCTATCAAATATTTATTCTCATCTAATTCATTAACCTTGGTATGCCATTCCTATAAAAAATTAATAAATAAAAATGGGGCAGCATGTCCTCAAATGTGTCCTCAACGAGTCTGATTCCTCCAGCATGTGTTGAGTTAAGTAAAGATTGGCTACCTAGAAAGATCTCTCACTGCACACTTTCTATACATCTGTCTCAATCCAATCAAAGGCATCCAGCATGTGTACGTGTACAACATGTGTTTGTGTTTGACACCGATACACAACCTCTAGCAAGGTGTCCAGGCTTCATAGGCCTTGTATGTTCTGTCAGCGTCACCAAGTATAATTCCTTTCAGAGCAATAGTTTGAAATTGGTGTTGACATAGGACAACCAAATATGGGGTTTATCTGGGAAGCATGTCCATGCCAAATACATGTTGATCACCAACATGGGTTGGAACACACCAACACATGTCCAATAAGGTTTTAAAAACCAGGCACACTTTGGATGCACTTGGACACACGTCTACGGCATGGATGTGCATGAAACCCATTAAGGATCTTAGTGCAAGTTCGAAAAATATAAGATGGGAGTCAAAAATTAAAATAAGCAAAAGTAGCTGAAATTAAAGTCAGCCAAGCCTTGTTCAAAAATAGGTAAAAAAAAATTTGCTATTATCAACTTTTTTAACAAAATCTTCATGCTGTCTATACTTCTTTCTATATATATATATATATATGAGGAACAAAAGCCCCATCTAAGGTGCTTTTTTTGTCTGGACAGCAATGACATATGGTAAGATACTCACAATTGACTATCTTATTCGGAAGAAACAAGTCTATGTAAAATGGTGTTATGTGTACAAGCAAGACATTGTTTGATGAATCACCACCTCATCCCTTGTTCAGGTAGCTTGAGACATGAGAACTTTAATTCTGGCCTTGTTTGACATGACTTGGGCTTTCCCATCTTCAATTTTGCAAATTGTGTTCACTTGGGAGGGAAGCTAGAGTTAGCATGAGGGGAAGGGCTTGAAATTTGGGCCCTTTGGCATTGATGTGGAGCAATTAGAAGGTGCATAACAAAAGAAGTTTTGGCAGAGGTGAGACTCCTATTTCTGGCCTAGTTTTACAGGAGATGGGTTTTTCCTTCAATTTTGCAGCTCTTGTTCGCTTCGAGGGAAGCTAGAGTTGGGAGGAGGGAATGGGCTTAGTGTTTGGGCCCTTTGGCATTGATATGGAGCATCTGGAGGCAGCCTAATAGAAGAAGTTATAACAAAGTTGAGACTCCCATTTTTGTCTTGAAGAGCAAAATTTTGGCCATCTTATATAGTTGGATTTCGGGTGGGGTTGATCCATCCTTAGAAATTGTTTTTTTCTTTGTACATGGGTGGGCACCCCATTGGTGCCTCTTTTTGAATATAAACATACTTTTTACCGATTAGAAGGGGAGAACATTGTAAGCTCAAACAGCCATATACGTCAATTCGCTGAGTAAAAAGATAGCCCAATGCTATACATCCATTAGGATATACAAATCACCTATAAACTGCCCCAAAAAAAAAAAATTCAAGAAAGATCTCATGAAAAAAAAAAAAACAGAGAAAGGAGCAAAGATCCCTTCAAGTTATGATAGGAAGCGTACTCATATATTGAAAGTTAAGTGTAGTAAAACATGTTACATCAGATACCAACCGACATCAACAGAAACCAACCTACTTTCAAAAGCGGGTGTAGCCATGGGCTAAACTTAGAGAGTCTTGAACACCACCCCCCCCCCCCCAAAAGAAAAAAAATAATAATAGTAAAGGGGCAGCAAGAACAGAAAAAGAATGAGCACATGATGATGAGGACCACTTGAGCTCCAATTAATTAAATTGAGAAGGACTAAATCTCCCCTAGTTTTAAACTTCATTCTTATTTCATACTTCAGTGGTTAAACCATACTGATTGATCCCCTCACTTAGTGTTAATTTTAATTTGAAGCCATATACTCAATAACTACCAACTTGTTTACCAATACTTCGAGGCTTTCCAAAATAAAAACTAGAACTTTCTGTTTCCACTTCTTTCACAACATATAAACATAGAAAATGAATCATTATTAATTATGCTTGCATGTAAACATGTGTGCATGTGTGCATTAACTTGTGTCATGTGCCAGTGCCCATTATTGATTTAACAACCTCCATGTGGGCACATGTCTATCATCATGTGGTATCCATGATCAATGTCCATTTCATGCCTCTTAAAGGTTACTTTTTAAAGGTCCATCATTTGATATAGTGGTAAAACCGCAGGTTATCAATGCTGATAAAATAAATAAATAAATAAAAAATTTTAAAAAAAAAAAATCTCAGGTTGCCAATGTGAGAAGGCTAATTGGAGTCCAAGGGAGGACACTTACACTAAAACAAAAATGCATAGAAAAAGAACAATAAGCAGAGGTAAACATTTTGTTTGTACATAAACAAACGAAAAAATAAAAATATTACAAAACATTAAAAAACATGTAACCAACCAAGAAAATAACATCAAAATACCCACATTACTTCAGCAAAATAAGAATTCCATTAATGAAAAAATTCATTGAAGGACTAGGGAGAGATCAATTTTAGGGTAAGAAGTTAAAAAAAAAAAATTATTTTTGGCATTAAATTCACAAACCCTGTCACTCCGAATTTCTCGATTGATAAAGTAACGGCTAAAATGTACAGGTTTGTCCTTAGATGCATGTACATAGACAGAGAATCTGCCCTCATGGCCCTGCCAAAATAAATAAAGCTCCTGTTAGTATACAAATCAACAGCAAAACAGCATCCTCAAAAAATGAAAATGATGGGTCAGATGCAAAAGAAATTGATTTCTATCAAATATGCGACATCTATAACCATGTCTAATCTCTTAGCAATGGAGTACATTTTATTTTAATCAATATCAGTATACTTGAAATAATTGATTAGTATCAGTGATTTGTCTGTAAAACTCATATCAGGTTTCCATTACAAAGTATTTTGGAAAATCAGCACTTGCTACTCAAAAACTGAACAATTTCTGCTGAACATCATAACAAACCAATCCCTCAAACAGCTGGAAGACCAATGAAAATAAATCGGTCCTTCATTTCTAGCAACCTAACTTTCTAGGTAACAAGTTCACCCTCCTAACCAGGCACAAATAACCGTTCTCATTGGTGCAACCAAGAATATATACATCCCTTAGCAACTCTTCAGCTCATTTAAACTCTCATACCAACTATCATCACAATTTCCAAAACAAGGCAAAAGGCATCTTCATCCAACAATCCCTTCATATTACTAGAATCACTGAGGATGCCAACAAACATTAGAACTGTGGTTTAAATTTGGACACATCAGCCATATATGTCATATATGCCAACACACAGTTGTTTGACAGTCATGTCATACTCATTTCCTGTTACCAAAAACTGAACAGTAGTTAGGCAAGTAAACCTGACCATGTTGGCAGCCAACCACACAGGCCATTCAAGAAGAATAATTTTGCTTTTTCTCAGTTAAAAACCCCCATCCACTAAAGATCACTTGTCCAATTTTTTTGCTCCCAGACCGAGAAAACCAATTTCTCAACATGATCTAAATTATTGACCAAAAAGATCACCTAAACACTGGATTCAATTACAGATAAACCAATACATAGAATTTGGTTAATCCATTTTAGGAATAAAAGTACAACATAACAGTTCAGCAAATCTTTCATACCTTCTTACGCATTTTTATCAGTTATCACTAAGAATGACACACTTGTTTGGTTACAAATACGATTTGATAACTTTGGCGTTGAGAGGCATTATTTCACATTGGTTGCTCCTCTACTTGATAAAATCAATTAGCTTTCTTTAGGATAAATTACAAATACACCCCCTGAGGTTTGATTAAAATATGAATCGTCCCCTGTAGTTCTGGAAATTACATTCCAGCCCCTGAGGTTTCTAATTTCATAACAAATCGTCCTTTTTATTAATAAATCATCGAGTCAATTAACAGTTTTTAATGATATTAGAAATATGTTTCAATTAATAATTTAAGTAATTTTATTATTGCATAGGAGAGAAATTATGAATTTCATTTTTTTAGTTAATTCTGTTGAATAAAAAAATCCTAACAAGGTGGTAGTTGTAATTTTCCAAACCACAGAAGGCAATCTGTACTTTAAGCAAACCTCAGGGGGTGTATTTGTAATTTACCCCTTTCTTTAATTCCTTCAAAATTTTGATAGAAATTATAATAATATTAGTTGAGGAACTAAAGGCAAGAAATTTACAAAGATGTGTGTTTGGATCAAAATAATTGAGATAATGTGATTATTATGTTTTTTGCACTTTTGCCTACAACAATAATTTCTGGGCAGTGGCACATGTGAAAGAAGAATAAAAATTAGATAGTCAGCATATTTTTTTGCTACTTAACCTATAATAGAATCTATGAAACTATGCAACATGTAAATCAAAGGACAAAAATTCATTATTACTATTATTATACACAAAAAACAGGATTCAATAAAAAGAAGGGCACCTATGAATCTCGGAGTAATCAAAAATTAGAATTCAAAATCTAATCAAATCACTAGAGCCAAAAACGCCTAATATATGATTTCAAACAGATCAATCCATTAAATAACACATCTCTAGTGCCATGACCGAGATAAAAAAACCTACATCATCTTGAGAATGAATAAGCATGGAATCTCGATTTGCAGCATTTGGAGTTTCAACTTTAGTAGTGAAGTGGAGAAATTCCACTTGCCTACCCAACATTGAAAGGTTTAGAATGTGCCAACTTGAAAAATAACAAACCACTCGCTCCCTTTGTTTTCCTGTGAGAAAATGAACCACTTCCCCTCTCTTTGCCAGGCCTTCCATTTCTTGATGGACAGCTGAGATTTCTACAACTATATCACAGCGGTTGGAACCACAAATTCAAGGAACTGAATTCATCAACATTCTTAGGGGTTGTTTGGAATGTTCTAAATAAGTGTATTTTTTGACTTTTTATGAAATATGGGTTGGGTATGGGTTGCATTTGAAGTGATGTGGTAGAGAGGTGATGTGACTTAAATAAGATGATGTGACTTAAATAGAATAGTGACTTTTTGATTTTTTGGCTTTTTTAGGAGATGACAAACAAGGCCTAATATCGAATTTGGATTGTTATGTTTAGGGCCCGTTTATACTAAAGAATAAAACCCCAAAATTATTTCTAAAGAAGAGGCAAAATTTGTTTGTTGGTTTGACAAAATTATGGGAAACAAGGCTCGTATTGGCACGCTGATTCCCATGTAATGCACGAGTTCTATCCCAATGTATGTAAAAGTTGCCTACCCCTACTTCTGTTAACATTTCGAGAATTTTGTCAAACAATGAACTTGAAAGTTTAATTAAGAAAGAGTGAGAAAGTCTAGACGAGATTGGTTAATATAAAAGAACTATTCTTTTGAGTTCTAAAATTAAGTGGTATGGACAAAATGTGAGTTTTGAACTTTAAAATGTAATAAATGACCAAATGTGAGATTTTTTCATAAATTAGGCTTATATAACATAGAAAAATAGTCGATAAAACAAGAGAACAATGATATCAGTTATAAAGGATTTGAATTCTCAGCGGTTCAAACTACAAAATCTAAAAAATTCAAGAGATGTACATTTCAATTGCTTTTTCCATCTCTCATCTAATAAGTGAAAAAATACATTACGATTGAAAGCATACATTTAGATCTTTGGTTACAAAAATCTCTCTAGTGCCTTCTTTATAAAAAATTGTTTTCTCTTAACCATGAAACAATCTACGTTATGCCCTCTATTCTATAACCGTCTCCCCCTTCCAAATAAAATAAAAAAGCACTAATTTATTGTACTTTCCTTTTCCTTTCTAACTGAGACACAGGAAAACCATTTGCTATTGAAGATGGTTTATTCATGAACTGTAAATTTGTAAACTTTATAGCTAGGATTCTCTAGTCTATCATGTGAATGAACCTTACTTTTATATATTCCATCATGCTCATAATGGATACTCTTTTTTAAATACTTTCAATTCAATTTTTTTGAAATGTTGAAAGTATGCATTACTCAAAAGAATACGACACATGATACAAAAGTGCAATCTGTGATGTCAAAGTTGACAACTGACCTTATCAGAATCTGGATTTTTCACTCACTAACTAGCATAAGATTACTTTTGCTTCTTATTTCAAAATGAAAGTGTAGTCCCTAGTTTAGTGCTCTGCCTCCCCACTAGACATGTTTCATACATAGTTGATGTTTCAATTATTCCACCCACACACAAACCTAAGACATGACCCATGTAGAAACTATGTATCCAGTGTCACCTTATCGGCCATACTTTTTAACTAATCTCAGAAATCCATCAAATATGAAACTATAAATTCTGCAACCCTGTGAAGCATCTATGAATAGATAGTTTGTGAAATTTTGAATACATGAATCAGTTTTCTCATGGAAGTTGCTTTATATTTACAGTTATCAAACTGTTATGGGCATTTTCAGAAAGTAAAAACATGACAGAAGAAATGTCAACACCAACTCCAAAGTTCACTTTATATAATAATAATAATAAATGGAAAAAAAATTATGAAAGAAATTTTTGACAAGATGATAATATTGAAAGGATAATGCAAAGTTAGAATATAATGAATGAAAGTAATGTTAGAGAAAAAAATCTTACATGAAAAAACATATCCCACAGCTTCTCAAAAGGTAATGAACCTGGTGTCAAGAACAGGAAAGCAATCTTAGGGTTGTTTGATTGAACTGGAGGCATCCTCAAAATATCATTGATCACGACATGAGAGGCAATCTCGTCATCAGTAAACTCCCTAGTAGGAGCAGGTGGTAGCCAATGGGAAAAACCTTTGCACCCATTAGAAGAGAACACATAACATGCAGCTGAGCTCTGTGGTGGATAAACATAAGCACAAATCAAAAACACACTGACCAATGAAACCAAAACAATGATCCATGTTGGCTTCCTCAAGTGGGCACGGTGGCGAGGCGCATGCAACATCTGCATGTCTTTCATGCTCAGACGCCACGCCTGACCTGTCTTCATCTGGAATTAATACATAACAGCTTGACTCCAAAATAACTTATACAATATCCAGAATCTCGAACCAGGACTTGTTTATTAAGTAATAAACACCTGAGAACCTAAAACCAGCCTTCAATTAACTGATTTAGGTGGAAAATGAATCTGCAAGCTGAAACAAATATATTAGGAGGGCCTATCACTTTAAAATGAAGTAGCTTAATCTCAACAATTTCACTGTGCAACGAGTAACATAGTGTCCAACAGAATTGAGAAAGGCATGGATATTAAATTATATAATCAAAAGAGGAAATTGACTCCAGAAGTCACTGAAAAGGAGTATAATTCAAGATCTGCAAGGGCACCAAAAATAGACTAATTAATGAATGTGACGCACAAATGCCAACTCGTGTTCATAACAAATTACATGATCCAGTCTTTGATTCAGAACTGCTTACATAAACTAATTAACAGCTAGCTAGGGATTTCAAAAGGAGTCTAATATTGGGGGACATGAAAATTAAACAATAGAAACAAACCAAATAGTAGTCTTTATAATTCTGAGTTGCCCACCCAACACCAACTTGATAAGAGAATAACACCAGTCACAACAAAAGTCAAACCTATCCATCAAAATCAAAACTACCAATTCCAATTCCAACATATCAAGCAACCCCCAAAAAAAACATTTTCTTCACATCCGATTCACAACATCCCCACCATACATATATACAGATAAAACATATATATATATATATATGCAACTGTAAATGTGCGTGCTTGTGTCCAGAATGTACTCTCCATTGTAACCATTGGTCAAACCCAAAATTCTTATATTTTCACGAATCTCCGACCTCACAAACCCAGTTTATAAAAATTAAAAGAAAATTATAATCAAACTACGTGCATAGGCATTAAATTCGAATCACATTAATGAAACCATTGAATCTTTGACAAGTCAAAAATAATTAACAAAAGATGAAACCGAAAAAAAAAGATTTATCTTTAAGAATTTTCCACAATTAAGGAACTCAATCTCCATATAAATACGATTATACATATAGAGCATTCTCTCTTGAAAGCAAAACCAGCAAGCGATGAGAATGAGAATGAGAATAGAAATACCTGATTGATTGACCGAGACGCGCAGGCTACAGAGAGATCTCTATGTATCTCACGAACTCGATAATTAAATCAAAAAGATCTATTCAGCAAAACTTCTTATTACAGGTATTTGAGATCTAGGGCACAGGAGGGAAGAAGATTCAAGACACAGGGAGAGGGAGAGGGAGAGAGAGAGAGAGAGAGAGAGAGAGAGAGACAAGGTCATAGGTATATAAATACAATATTTACACACGTAACTATATATATATGTATAAACAATTGGTAATTGGTAATTGCTTAGACGATTCGTCTGTCTGTCTGTCTGTCTGTCTTTTGTTTCTCTAAATAAATTTTTCTCACTTTCTCTCTAAATTTTCTCTCTTTCTCGACGACTTGAGAGAAATGTTCCACCTCGGCCGGCGAATTTTATACGTACGTAAATGTTTCTTTTCTGTCTTTCTTCTTATTTTTCTTGGTATCCAAACGCATTGAGAGCGCGTGCGAGAGAGAAAGAGAGCTGGTGTGCCCGTTGAGCAGAGTTATGAACCTCCGTTTTGGCGTTGTCTTTTTTACTGGTTTTTGTTGTTCCCACGTGGCGTAACTAAAGTTGATTTTATTTCTTCTTCTTTTTATTGGTAAATTTTCAATTTATCCTTGGATAAATTATGTTGACACCCCCATCAGATTTGATCTAATCACTATCTATCCCTTAATCTTTTGAAAATTATATTTTCATTCCTATGATTAATAATCTCATTTCACAAACTCCCTACTTATAGAGCTGGTGTGCCCGTTGAGCAGAGTTATGAACCTCCGTTTTGGCGTTGTCTTTTTTACTGGTTTTTGTTGTTCCCACGTGGCGTAACTAAAGTTGATTTTATTTCTTCTTCTTTTTATTGGTAAATTTTCAATTTATCCTTGGATAAATTACATTGACACCCCCATCAGATTTGATCTAATCACTATCTATCCCTTAATCTTTTGAAAATTATATTTTCATTCCTATGATTAATAGTCTCATTTCACAAACTCCCTACTTATATAAAAAGTAATAACTTCTAGTAAAAAAAATAGAGAAAATTAAATTTTAAAAAAAAAAGTAAAGGAAAGGAAAAAAAAAAAAAAAAGTAAAGCAAAGCAAAGCAAAAAAGAGAGAGTGCATAAGTTCAATATTTTCATTCCGTCTAAATAATTACAATGACAGGAGAGTTAGTGTAATTTTTCAAACTTCAAGGGTGATATGTATTAAATCCAAACTTCAGAGAGTGTAAGTGTAATTTACCCTTTACCCTTTCTTAAAACTAAAAAATTAGAATTGCAGACGGGTGGAATTAAGATGAGTTTTGTAGGGATTGAACTTGGTTCATTTGTTTGTAGAGTTTAAAATTTTCGCTCCATTTCAACTCAAAAAATTATTTCAACTTGAAGTCGATTAAGTTTGTTAATATTAATCAAGTTCGAATTTGAGTCGAAATTTGATAACAAAACGTATTATTTAATAGGAATTTTTATTCAGCTCTCTAGAAAATATTTTGTATTAGTTTGAAAACAATTAAAATATGCTTGTTAGTTTAAGGATACTAAGAGGTTGTTTGGGATTAATCTAAACAAATATACTTATTTAAGTCATATCACCTCTCTATTTATGCACATTTTTTCATAAAAAATCAAAAAATACACTAAATAAGCAAACCACTAGTTTCATTATTCCTTCACCTCTTGCTACCACTGCCACTTCCACTTCCGACAACCACCTTCAGCTGCCAATGACCACTATTTGTTTCTGGCAAAAATTTTCCACGAAGTGAAATTCATCAGATTTTCAAAACAGAAAATTTTCAATTAATAACTAAAAGCATAGTATTTTTTTTTTTAATTAACACCGTTATATAAAAAGAAATTTCATAGCTTTCAACATAAGAGAAATTTCAATTAATACTTAAAAAATTAAAAAATTGAAAGTCAAATAAATTTTGAATCTCTTGGTTAATGAAAATTCATTGAGCCTTTTAGTCTAAATCCAGTAAAATTGCAAGAGATTAGAGAAAATGACTTTGGTGAGAAAAATTGCACTGACTTTAGTCTAGATCAACGTTAGTAAATTTCTCTAATAACTGACTTCTATAATTTCTCGTATTTTATCTAAGAAAAATAATAAAATATATTTTTTGATACATTTTCTCACCAAAAATTAGTTCCAACTCACCTGAATGCTATCTACTCTTGTCAAACACTGATTGTTCTTGATCAAAGTGTGTGAGAAGCAAGAGAAAGAGAAAGAGAGAGAGAATAGAAAAATGTAGAGATCTGGAACAACGGCGGCAGTGGCGGTTGAGACAATTATGGTAAAAGCCGTGAACTTTGGTGAACACTATTTTGATCATTGATGGTAAAGAGAAAGAGAGGTAGAGAATACAAAGATATAGAGATCTGGAATAACGACAGTGGTGGCAGTTGAGAAGATTATGGTAGCAATGGCGAACTTTGGTAAACACTATTGATCCTTGATAGTAGAGAGAGAGAGAGAGAGAGAGAGAAAATGGGGCAAAAGAGAAACAATAGAAGTGTTTAGGATTTTTTATGTTTGCAGGGATAGTTTGGTCCATTTATGTCAAACTTTTTCTTTATTCTTCTACAATTTAAAATATTAGGACTTTAACTAGTAAATAAATTGTTGTTCTCCTCAAACTCTTACACAAATTTGTAAAGGGATGCCTCATTCATTTACCCAACAAAAACTTGATTATTTATCTTATTAATTACAAATATTTTTTTATTTAAAATAAAAATAATATATTTATGTTATTATTTAAATACATAATAACCGAACTGAGTTTATTCGAGTTCGAACACAACTCGTTTAAATAGTTTATAAGTTTGAATCCTTGATTATTTATTTAATGAATCAAGCTGAATTAAGCCAACCCAAGCCGAGTTTGCAAAATGCAAGATTCCTTATAAGAGTGAACGTTTTCTTTATAAAATTTGTTAAGTTTTTATTGACCTCGGCATAGAAGAAAATTTTTGGAGTTGCTTCTAATTATATTAAAACCTGTTTAATATTAGTTAAACAAATCAAAACATGTGTAATGCCCCAAAAATTATCATCTTTTAACAACATTAATTCAAAAATAATTTGATTTATAATAACCAGATAGACCATTAAATAAATCCATTTCATAATTTCAAAAGTTATCTCTTCTTCGTTGAACTATTCGAGTGATACATCATTGTGAAGTACATTCATCGACAAAATAAATAGCTTAAAACACAAGAGATAATACAAAACATAATGCCCTAAAGGCTTACATCTTTTCAAGGATTTTTCTTGAATACGCAAAAAATGGAGTTCTATCTCCATACAAAAATAACCCCAAGGCCTCAACATGTTGCATTAATAGAGCCTCCGTGCTCCCATCCAAACATGCATCTCATGCCAATCACTTGGGTATCACCACAGCATCATCTCCTAAAAGTTTGTTAGTTTTAGGATGAGCAATTACCCAATAGGAAATACCATTAACAATTTATATAATTTATCGAAATACATATGATCATGCTATACTAGAGATGAGGAAACCCAAGCCTTTTCCTTCATCAAACCATGATACTAAATGCTCAATGCCAACAACATATCATAACCAAACCATGGGGTGTAAATACGGTATGACGTCCCAATACAAGAACCATGTACCATACATACATATGTATATATATATATATACAGAAAGTAGTCCCCACATTTGCTAACTCTCAAAACAGAAGGGCGATGGGCACCCAAGACCTTTCCCATTCCACATTTGTCGACTCTTGAAACGACAGGCTCATGGACACCCAAAATCATGTTTTCCACATTCGTTGACTCTATAAACGGCAAGCTCATAGGCACCCTAAAGCCTTTCCAACATCCGTCCCATGATAGGCACAAGCAGGGCAATTGGGCAACTTAACTCCCTACGCGGGTACCAATATACATTACACAACTCAAGCCAAAGCCCGACTCACTACCCGGACTAATATGTTATTTACCCCCCTTCTAACACTTTTCATAAATCAACTTTCAAGAATTACAAGGTATAATTATAATTGTATATGATGCATGAATTTCCAAATCTCAATTTCCCTATGGTTATTTCAATTCACAACAATCCAATAATTTACACATCAACAATCAAGAGATTTCCCAATTCACAACCATAACCATCTCAAGGTTTTGTGTTACAAAGCTTCAAAATCTCATATTACAACATCAAAGTCAAGTCAATACACCAAATTTCAAGTTTTAGAGACTAATTGAACAAAACGTTTTGTTATTGAACCAATTTGATAACTAGGGTTTTAGAAAAATTAGGGTTTTACCTCTTTCATGATTTAAAGGCTAATTTCTTATCATCAACAACAATAATCATCAAAAATGTACATAAAGTTTTCCAAAATCATGAGGCACAGCCTTTTTTCATCAAACCCATTTACTAATACAACACATATCATATATACATCTTGATATCTAATAAAAATACCACATGTGTCTCAAATCAAACATATAACTAGTTAAAAGTACCTCTACCTCAAGAATGAAGACAAAAGATAAAAGCCTAACTCCAACTTTGATGAAATAACAAAACAATTGGTAGAACTCTTAATCTAAGCTTTCCTTTTAACCTTCTTGAAGGATCTAGGGTGGATTTCAAGTAAAAACTAGAGAAATCTATTGTTTTAAGGTTAGGGTTTCAAAAATGGGTGTTAAAGAGAGAAAAGGTGTGAAAAAGTGATAGAAAATGATGTTTAAATTGACTTTTAAAACTACTATCCTGAACAGATTGCTCAAGTGAACTTGCCATCACTCGAGCTATGAACACAAATCAAATAGACTGCTTGAGCGAACTTTCCATTGCTCAAGTGGTAAACGCAAGGTCTTAGAAGTTTTGCAGAGCTACAATGAAAAATTATGGGAGTCTCATTTTTACGCTCGAGCAACCACTTAACTGCTCGAGTAGTCTCGACTGCAAACAGGCAAAATATTAAGAGCCTTGTATCATCACTCAAGCAACTGATTGACCGCTCGAGCGGTAACCTAGAACAAATTATTACAATTTCATTCCCGAAATTTCGTGATTTCTGCCAACAACAACTCCAGCTATCCCAACGAAAAACGCATACCATATTAACAACAACCCCAACAATTACAACAACATTAATTGAGAACGAAATCAATTCATAATTTGAATAATGACATAAAAGTCTAAGTTTTAAGAAAATAGCACTTTTTCATTACTTCACTCCACAAGTCAAAATACATATAGCTAAGGAGAACAACAAATTAACAAGATTACACTTTATTAAACAAATTTGGATATTTCTCCTAGACCTCAACTTCTCATTCCTAAGTAGTTTCTTCTACCCCGTGATGTGCCACAACACTTTGACAAGAGGAATGGTTTTGCCCCTCAAAACTTGTTCCCAAGAGTCTAAGATCTTCACAGGTCTCTCTACATATGAAGTATTCTCATC